TTTCCTTCCCACTGTCGCCAAAGTGCTTGTTGGGTTTTTCTCTGTATCTATTATTGTACGATCTACTGTACAATAGGTGACCGTTGTTGTGATTTTGCGCTATATATTAAAAAAAAATATACAAGGCTTTTTCAATGGTGCGACTAAAAAAAATCGTATGTCGCACCGGTGCGACCAACTGTTCGGGTAGCAAAAAATAAATAAAATAAAAAATATCTGCAACTCTGAAAGTTTCCGTGTGGTCAACAGCAGACACACATTGTGCCCCTGTTGTGGTCTAAACCAATCAGAGACAGTCAGGGGCGGGCGCTCTCTGAGTGGTCGTGGTCTAGATATTCATGTAGTCCGTGTGTACATTTGAAAGTGCAGGGCGGGCGGAGGGAAAGAGTAGCTTGAATAAAGCGATATCGATTAGTTAAATCCTGAATCGACTTTTAAACATAAATGTGTTTTGCCAGAAACGCCATAATCTCAGGTTAAAGCTCAGAAAACTTTTTCAACAACCACCAAACAGTAAATGAGAGCAGGTACACGGATTCCACACAAAGACGTAAACACAGAGCGCGGACCCAACGCATCAGAATCAGCTTTCTCTTTCTCGGCTTTCTCACCCGGCGGCACGTACATGGCTTTTGGGGCTGAAAGCCGACAGCTCACTGATTCTGATACGTCGGGTCCGTGCTGTGTTTATGTGTTTTTTTACACTAGATTCTGAGCTGCAGGTTTTGTCTCTCTCCAACCAAAATTCACTGAATCAGCAGCAAACTACTCTTCACATTTGATAAACATCGTCATGAGTTCCCTCTTACTTTTGCTGTTTTGCCTCCACCACAATAAAAATCACCCTTCATGCACAGCTCTTGCTCTCTGTGTACTTCAAGAACAGTTTCCCATCTCAAATCTGTTTTCTGCATTATCCATTCGCTTATTATCCACCAGTCTACCGTTATTTACAGCACTGTTGGTCGCTGTCTTTTTTTTCTTTTTTTACTTAATGACCTCGGACAAGAAAGACTAATTTCTGCTGTTCAATACTGAAGACATTTAAACTTCTTAAAACTATGCAAAATTGCAGAATATTTTTAAGGTTATCTGCTATAAAAAGCCAGGCCAGGACAATCTCCTTCATGTGAAAAATGGGATGGACCTTCATAGCTGTTGGAAGCTGAAGACGATAAGTAACCGGGTTGTTTATTTACTCATGGCTGCAAAGTTTCTTCATCCAAGTATTAAAAACAATCTTTGTATTTAAATATATCTTTGTTTTTCCCATTAACACTGTGAGGAATTTTGGAGTCATTCAACAAATATGTAGGGCTCTTTCTTCCATTTGCACAATATCTATAAAATTAGAAACATCCTGTCTCAGAGTGACACCGAAAAACTGGTTCATGCATTTACTTCTTCTATGTTCGACTACTGTAATTCATCATTATCAGGATGTCCTATAAACTTCCTGAAAAGTGTTTGATTTGATCCAAACTGCTGCAGCAAGAGTACTGACCGAGAATAGAAAGAGAGAGCATATTTATCCTGTGTTGGCTTCCCTTCATTGGCTCCCTGTTAAATCCAGAATCAAATTCAAAATCCTGTTCCTCACGTACAAGGTCTTTTATAATCAGGGCTCATCTTATCTTAATGACCTTATAGTAACATGTCACGCTATTAGAGCACTTCACTGTCAGACTTTAGGCCTACTTGTTGTTCCTAGAGTTTTTAAAAGTAGAATGGGAGGGAGAGCTTTTGATTTTCAGGCCCCCTTTCTGTGGAACCAGCTTCCAGTTTGGATTCAGGAGACAGACACTATCTCTACTTTTTAGATTAGGCTTTAAACTTTACTTTTTGCTAAAGCATATAGTAAGGGCTGGATCAGGTGACCCTGAATCCTACCTTAGTTATGCTGCAATAGGTGTAGGCTGCAGGGGAATTCCCATGATGCATTTAGTGTTTCTTCTTTAGTCACTTTTCCAACCCACTATGTGTTTATACACTTCTCTGTATTTAATTATTAGTTATTATTAATCTCTGGCTCTCTTTCAGAGCAAGTATTTTGTCCTGTTTTTCTCCCCTCACCCCAACTGGTGGCGGCAGATGGTCGCCCCTCCCTGAGCCTGGTACTGTTGGAGGTTTTTTCCTGTTAAAAGGGAATTTTTCCTTCCTACTGTTGCCAACAATACTACACTCAAAAGGATGTAACAATGGCAGTTTATTTGACTTATGATTACAGTTATCACTTTTTGAACACTTTTGGACAATTCAGTGTTTAAATAATGGTGCAAGTAATGGTCAAGTTGCAGATTTCAGCATCAGTGATGTTGAGATCTGAAACTTGACATGACAAACATACACCCTAAGACTATCTTTAGGATAAAGAACAACCAGTTCTAGAAGTGATGATGTGGCACAAACAGTACAGATGTCAACATCAGAGGTGTACTTAGAAGTGAGCAATGAATATACCAGATGCCCTTCATCCATTCATTCTCCTTATGTATGGACATTGCTTGTGGTGTAAAGTGTCCAAAGTATTAATACTCTTTGCTGACGATACAAACATCTTCTGCTCTGGTGATGATGTGCAGAATTTATTGGAGGATATGACTAATGAAATAAGTAAAGTGAAGTTCTGGCTTGATAAAAACAAATTATCATTAAATTTGAATAAATCTAAACTTATATCATTTGGAAATAGTAGTTTAAATACAAATGCTAAGATTCAAATAAATGGTGTTGATATTGAAAGAGTCAGTGAAAAAAAATTTCTGGGGGTAATAATAGATGAAAAACTTAACTGGAGGCCTCACGTAAGATACATTCATTCCAAAGTATCACAAAGCATTGCAATACTAAACAAGGCAAAGCAGGTATTAGACAGAACATCACTTCATATTCTCTACTGTTCACTGATTTCACCATACATAAGCTATTGTGCAGAAGTCTGGGGCAACAAATATAAAACCACATTGCTTTCACTTTTTACTCTTCAAAAAAAGCAGTTCGAATCATCCACAGTGCAGGTTATAGGGAACATACAAACTCACGATTTTTGCAGTCTGAAATATTGAAAATTGTCGATCTAGTGAAATTCCAAACAGCATAAATTCTATTCAAAGCAAAAAATAAAGAACTGCCAGGTAATATTCAGAGTATGCCTTTTTGAAAGAAGTTATAATTTAAGGGGTTTTTGTAACTTCAAAACAGGGAAGGTGCGTACTACAAGAAAAAGCTTTTGTGTTACTGTGCATGGAGTGAAACTGTGGAACAGTTTGAATATGGAATTAAAGCAATGTCCAAACATAAAACAGTTCAAAAGGAGATATAAAAATGTGATATTCTCGAACTATAAAGACAAGGGAAATATTGAAATTAAGTGAATATCTATTTTTAAAAAAATCATGATGTGATATTATAGTATATATTATATCAGAAATCTGTTCACTATTTTTATTACAGATTATATCAGTAAGGAAGCTGACTAAATATTAACTGATAACTTATGGCAAAGGGGTGGGATTAAATAAGTATGTACTTCTTCCCACTCCCTTTCAACATGTGAATCAGAACGGTAGCAATATTGAAATGTATTGACTTTTGTTTAGTATTTTTTTCTCTCTCTTATCTTCTTTATTAAATCTACCTGTATATTGTTTGCATGTTTGAAATAAATGAACAAACAAACAAACAAACAAACGATAAAGGCTTACATCCATACTAAGAATATGCTCGCTTGTACTTATTTACATTTAGAATCACCAACCTAATTAACGTAACCACATGCATGCCTTCTGGCTGTGAGAATTCTGAGTACCTGTACATGATTACCTGTTGTAATGCTATGTGTGCTGTTTTCATAATTCTGTAGATCATTAAACATAAACAGATGTTGCATGTAAAATGGCAATGGGTTTTTTAATAAGAAAAAGCGATTCCAGGCCTTTTAATGAAGTATATGTGGTAATAACAAAATGGCACTGAATACAAGCAGTCAGACAACCTCACATCATTCTTTCTACAAATAATTAGGTTTTTTTCTGGCACCCTTAAAAAATGGTAACTGTGACAATCTTCCACATGGGTATTTGCATTTTTCTCATTTAGTTTCCAAACTATTGAAGTCATTTACTTGTTTTCCAGTAACCAGGCTCATGTTGTCACACATAACTCGAGAAACAGTTCTTGCTGTTATAATGTAATGAATAAAGTATTTTTGATATTATTTGCAAACACATGTATGAAGAGTCTTTGTACATGTGTTGTACAAAGACACAGTGGGACAGAGGTATATTTTATATGTATAAAAAGAAGATAATCACATAATTTGAACAGTATTTAAATATTTTTCTATGTATGACATACAGACAACAGCCTGCACACCAACTTTATAAACAAAGTATTATGTTAGTTGTCTTTTATTCTGCCTCTCTGCTTTCACTTAAAATCAGCTGACTACCTGAAATGAATGGTGATATTATATGACTATATATATTTGGCAGCCTCGCCTCTGTCAGTGCGCCCCAGGGCAGCTGTGGCTACAATGTAGCTTGCCATCGCCAGTGTGTGAATGTGTGTGTGAATGGGTGAATGACTGAATGTAGTGTGAATCGCTTTGGGGTCCTTAGGGACTAGAAAAGCGCTATACAAATGCAGGCCATTTGTCATGATTTTACATCTTATTATTTTCTGGTGGTTTAATTATCTCTACATTTTTCTTTCACAAATCCAGACTTTTTTTGTGTCACACGGTGTATCATTCCAGGAGTTTTCTCTTTCATAGAAATAGATTTCTCCACAATCTTCATCTACAATAAGACTGTTAGGCTCGCCGATGTCCCAGAAGCTGAACACAAAAACAGAAAAAAAGACTAACCATTTTATACTGACTCTGAAGTCATGGTATACTGATCTAACAAACAAAACTTTACACCTACACTTTATCTTAAAATGCAAGTTACCAATAATAATTTATTAAAGAGTCATGCAACAAACATAAAGTGTGAAACCTGATGGTAGGTGTAGTCCCATCCACCCATTTCCATGTCTGTTCTTTTTCGGTGTCAGTCAGTCCAATCCATGTCCGTTTTTTAAACTCTCTTATGAAGTTCTTATTCACAGAAAAAGAAATAAACAATAACATTAAATACATCTGAGTTTTACACTTTTGTCTTTGTGTCTCAGAAACAGATTTTGCTCCTATATACTGTACCTGTTCCTCTCTGCTGTTGATAATCACCAAGTCTGCCCCTCTCTGCAGACAGTCCTCTCTGCTGTCATTCCAGGTGTTTTTAGTAGATGAAACGTAATATAAACTGTGTTTGAAGTATATCCATCCTTGTTGGATATAGCAAGCTGCAAAGGACAGTAAAACTGAACCTTCAAAATTATGCTCAAGAAAATAACAAACAGCAATGTTAATAATGATAATACTGTTTAGCGTTACACTCACCTAATTCATTCATTTTAATGTCTTCTTCTTTAGTCAAGTTTTTAATAATGGCCTCACAATCTGGTGTTGTTGTTGTATCAGAACTGTCTGTAAGAGCAAACATTTCCTTAAGTAACTACACCACCAGAGTGCCACATGAATGAACCTGATTCAAGTTAAATTCATTGCAATTCTTCAAACTGTAACGGTAATTCTCTGTCATTCTGTTCTTATATTATTCAGATGGTGAATTTATGGTCACATTACAAAGAAAATGTAAATTGACTCACAAAAAGCCAGCCGCAGTGAAATGTTGAGTGTAGCTTGAAGAATACACAGAAGTGCAAAGCTCAAAGCAACCAGTCTGCAGAGTTTTCTTTCTGTGTGCAGGAATCAAACAGATAAGAAAATTACATTTATTGTCATTAAGAATGTACAATGAAAATTATGCTGCACTGCCAGGATATGGACTCATGCATAATAATAATACTATAAACACCAACAGGAGAATAAACAAATGTATTGAGGGATAAATAAAGAGGAAGTACAAATGGGTTTAGTGGTTTTTGAATTCAGTGTGGTTACATTTGTAGGGTAAGAACTGTTCAGGAATCATTTGGTGTGACTTTTTATGCATCTGTATCTCTTACCAGATGTGTATTAGCAGACTGATAAAAGAGCATTAGCTGGTGTGCTAAACCATAAAGATTGCACAGAGCACAGGCTAAAAACACCATCTCATAAATGTATATTTAAAGATGAAATATTGACTGCGTTCATTTCCTGGTTTGTCAGTAGCGGCTTCCAAAAAGTAAGTCTACGACACATGTTATTGAACATCACCAGTTGTGACACCAGTTATTCTGAAACACAGGGGGCAGGGTGGGGAAGTCAATAAGGACGCTGACAGCTGGGGCTTGTAGGGAGGAGACCAGCGGGCCGAAATATTGACTCTGTCTATTTCCTGGTTTGTCAGTAGAGGCCGCTGAAGACACCTGGACTGTATTTAACATTTGCCTGAGCATACCTGGTGCCCAACAATCCAGCCCTAACTATATGCTTTATCAAAAAGGAAAGTTTTAAGCCTAATTTTAAAAGCAGAGATAGTGTCTGTCTCCTGAATCCAAACTGGAAGCTGGTTCCAGTGAAGAGGGGCCTGGAAAATGAAGGCTCTCCCTCCCATTCTACTTTTCAATATTCTAGGAACAACAAGTAAGCCTGCAGTCTGAGACTGAAGAGCTCTAATGGGTCATATGACACTATCTATTATTATCTGATTATCTGATTATTTAAGACTGTGTATGTGAGGAGAAGGATTTTGAATTAGATTCTGGAATAAACAGGGAGCCAATGACGAGAAGCCAATATATGAGAAATATGCTCTCTCTTTCTAGTCCCTGTCAGTACTCTTGCTGCAGCATTTGGATGATCAACTGAAAGCTTTTCAGGAAGTTTACAGGACATCCTGTTAATAATGAACTACAGTAGTCCAGCCTAGAAGTAGTAAATGCATGAACTAGTTTTTCAGTGTCACTCTGAGACCAGATGTTTCTAATTTTAGAGATATTAGGCAAACGGAAGAAAGCAGCCCTACACATTTGTTTAATACCTGTACTGAAGGACAAAAATGACTCCAAGGTTCTTCACAGTGTTCCTGGAGGCCAAGATAATGCCATCCAGAGTAAGAATCTTTTTAGTATGGAAGATGATTAGGGACACCGGAAAAAAAAAGTGGGCATATCTTTTTTATTTTTCTTTTCCAAATTCTGAGAAAAACTTCAGAATTATGCCTTTTTTTCCTCATTATTCTAGAAAAAACAGAAAAAAAGACTCGCAACTTTCCCCCCGGTGGCCCGAATCCTCTTTCATAGGTTAGAGACCATATTTCTAAGAATTTTTCGGAAGAGTACAATAACCTAAGTTTTAGCTGAATTTAGAAGAAGGAAGCACTGATACTTAGTTCTTTAAAAGAAGAAACTATTCAATATTTTATAATTATTAAATAAATTCATTAAATTAAATTTAATTGCGTTAGTGTTTGAAAAAATACTTTGAATGCAGTTTATTCCCTAATCGTTTGTTAAAAACAAAAATCTTCCACCTGATTCCAAGAAAATCTAACAAGGTGGGGTTTTCAATACAAACTCATACTCAGGGCTACAATAAATCATATGACACTAACAGACAGCATGAAAACCTTCTAAATAAATTGAATTACTTACTACTGGTCGAAGTATCAGCTCCATTTTCACAATCCATGTCAGATTCGTATTTAAGAACAAACTTATTTTGCTGTGGTATGGCAAAGGCATATAGTGAGAAAATACCGAACTAATCCATAACTTCCTTATCTAGCTTTCTTCTGTTTTTGACAACTTCTGTAGTTTTAAGCACACAGCTTCCTGCTGTGCTGTCTTTCTTTCTTAAGTTGAGGTTTGTCAGTTGAGTCAGTTTTTGTCATGGTCGCTGGTTCCTCTATGCAAGAGGTGTCAAACTCATTTTAGCTCAGGGGCCACATGGAGGAAAATCTATTCCCAAATTTAAACTTTACAAGATTATCTCACGGGCTGGATAATACCTTTTTTTAAAAAACAAAAAAAATCCTGTTTGTGGGCCTAATCCGGCTCGCGGGCCATATGTTTGACACCCCTGCTCTGACCTGCCTTTTCTGTCTCTCCCTCTTTTGCTTCTTCATTTCAGGGCTGGGTCCTCGTCAGTACCTCTCTGCCCTCCTGGCAAGGCACACTTGGAAGTTGTCTTGGCATTAACTCACCTGTTTTGCAAGCAGGTACTGTGTTAAGGACCCAAGAAGATTAAGTGTGTGCCTGAGTACTGACCTTTGAACCCAGTTAAGCTAACACACAGCCAGGCCTCTGATTCCTCTGCTCTGTTGTTACTACCCGATTCCACTATTTCATCAGTATGGCTTAATGCATCATGATTCATTTGTTTCTGGTTGTAAAACATACATATGACTGTTTGGTGTAATGCTGTGTATGGCTGTTAAGAATATATTTTACTGTAGAGCATTAAACATAACCAGATATTGTATTATTGAACTGTTGTGTATGTTTTTTGTCAAAATAAAATCAAGACTTTTTCAAGAAATGATTTGTTCATCAAAAAAATAAATAAATCGATGAACAAAAAGTCAGAGCAGTCAGACATATTTGAAAACTAATGGCATTTTGTGGCAGCATGAGACAGCTGTAACTGTCACAATCTGCTGTGTGGCAGGCAGGTTAGGACCCAAACGCAGGACTCCAAAAGCACAAAGTTAAGTCCAAAAACGGCTTTATTGTATAGTATAGTATAGTATTTATTTTATTGTCATTGTCAAGAACAATGAAATTGCGTTTGGGGCTTCCTTATTGCTGAGCTCTCCCAAAAACAGAAGATACAACACAACTGAAATTAAGTTTAAAATGGAAACTACTCAGCTCACGAAACACAGACACTCTGAGGCTGTGTCCCAATTCAGGGTCAGCGGAGATTTTGGCGGAGAAAAAGCAAATGGTAGCGTAGAATTTAACAAAGGTTTTTCAAGCTTCAGTATTACCAAATATACTAATCAATTGTCATATAACTAACAACATCTGTTTTACCATCTCTAACACCCTGGAGGACAACGGGGAGAGTTTAGACGCTCTCCAAGATTACATCGACCGCTGTTTTCAGAGTATGAGGTGCGTGAGGGACATTATTACTGAAACGCTCTCACACACACTACTGAAACGCTCTCACACACACTACTGAAAATCTCTCACACACACTACTGAAATTCGCTCTCACACACACTACTGAAATGCTCTCACACACACTACTGAAACGATCTCACACACACTACTGAAACGCTCTCACACACACTACTGAAACGCTCTCACACACACTACTGAACGCTCTCACACACACTACTGAAACGCTCTCACACACACTATGAAATTTATCCCTACACACACTACTGAAACGCTCTCACACACACTACTGAAATTTTATGTCTCACACACACTACTGAAACGCTCTCACACACACTACTGAAACGCTCTCACACACACTACTGAAACGCTCTCACACGCACTACTGAAACGCTCTCACAGGCACTACTGAAACGCTCTCACACGCACTACTGAAACGCTCTCACACGCACTACTGAAACGCTCTCACACGCACTACTGAAACGCTCTCACACACACTACTGAAATCGCTCTCACACACACTACTGAAATGCTCTCACACACACTACTGAAACGCTCTCACACACTACTGAAACACTACTGAAATGCTCTCACACACACTACTGAAATGCTCTCACACACACTACTGAAACGCTCTCACACACAACTGAAAAGCTCTCACACACACTACTGAAATGCTCTCACACACACACTGAAACGCTCTCACACACTACTGAAACACTCACACACACTACTGAAACGCTCTCACACACACTACTGAAACTCTCACACACACTACTGAAATGCTCTCACACACACTACTGAAATGCTCTCACACACACTACTGAAATTTTATGTCTCACACACACTACTGAAATGCTCTCACACACTACTGAAACGCTCTCACACACACTACTGAAACGCTCTCACACACACTACTGAAACGCTCTCACACACACTACTGAAACGCTCTCACACACACTACTGAAACACTCTCACACACACTACTGAAACGCTCTCACACACACTACTGAAACTCTCACACACACAACTGAAACGCTCTCACAACACACTACTGAAACGCTCTCATACACACTACTGAAACGCTCTCACACACACTACTGAAACGCTCTCACACACACTACTGAAAACGCTCTCACACACACTACTGAAACGCTCTCACACACACTACTGAAACGCTCTAACACACACTACTGAAATTTATCTCTCACACACACTACTGAAACGTGCGTCCTGTACCGTAGCTTCAGATTGGGCAGACCAACGTTGCGTACCTTTGACGTTGCGTAACAAACTCTGTATTCCTCGTCCACATGTAAACAAAAAAAAAACTGAGTTTAAAAAAAAATCTCTGTTTGCGGTGATTCGAAACGTCATTTACGTGTGGGCGAAAGGTCCAAACGCACAGAAAAAGCTGCGTTTTCAAAAATACCCTTTTAAGTGTGGATGGTGATGTCGCATAAAAGAGTTTAGAGATTATTTTATTACTACCTGTAATTTATTGCAGTTTACTTGTATTTGCTTAATTGTTTACTAAATGTTTGAGGTGTGAAATAAACCGCAATGGAGGCAAAATAAAATGGTGTGAATGGTGAGGATGTGTTTATCACGACATAGCTGGACTGGCCATCGGGCATACCGGGCATTTGCCCGGTGGGCCGCTGGCGATTTTTTGTTTTTATGGGCCGATGGATTTTTTTTTTTTTTTTTTTTTTAGGAAGGGTATATATAATGAAAGGTGTTGGATTGGCCAATTGGTCATGATCGACTCTGGGCTGGACCAATTACAGCCGAGGAGGCCGGAT